TTGAGTGGTCGGAAGACTCGAAAGGCGCTATACAAGTACAGGTCCATTTACCATTTACTAAGCCAATTTGAAGTCAATCTGATCAATTCTTTTTTGTGTAAAGAGTCTGTTAAAATCTACAACCTGGAAATGCATAATTAACTGCACATTAACTGCGAAAAGGCCAACTTCCTGCTTGATTTAGGGTATGTCTCCAAGAGTCTTTCTTGCAAGTCTGGTACTGTTCCATTCTCAAAATACAATCCTGTAACTTTCATTTAATCTGTTTTATATCTATTAATGTACATGGATATAATTCTATAATAACATATAGAGACCGTTTTCTCGATTTGATGTGCGTGGTTGCAATATTGGGGAGGTCAAGATCCGCTACTTAACAATACTGAGAGCTTCAGACCAACAAGGAAACACTGTGTGTGGAACTACAAAGCCTGTAAATTGTGAGATGACTGGTAGGAGTAATTCCTTTGACCAGGAAGAATCAGCTAGGAATACAGTCTGTGCCAAGTGTGTGACAGATGGACGGGCTGTGACAGCTTGTTGTCATGGAGAAGTTGGTTGTCTGCTTCTCACTGTGAGCAAAAAATACATTTGAGCTAGAGCTGCATACTTAATTGCAGATAATGACGGTTTTAATTTGCTACATTAATAAGCATGTAGGCATCTGGCAAAACTAAAGTATTAAGTAGTAATATTCTGAATTCACAGAATTATTCAGTCAGTTGCAGGGGATGAATGACTTGAACTGTGCTGTACACTGAAGGCTGAAAAAATCTGATCTTCAACATTATCTTATAGCCAAAACCTTTGAATCAATTCATGAATACAAACACAAATATAGCTTTTAACTTTTAGTGGACACACTTTGACAGAAAATTTGATTTCAAGGATTAATGTTAGCTTACGCTATGGCCAATAGGGCACTTTTCATGAATATCTTCACATCTAACTTGGTGAATCAAGGGTTTATTTCATCCAGACCAGAGCTTATGATAGTTGGAAAGACTAAGGTTCTAGTGAGTTTTATTTGGTTCCTGTCTAGTTCTGTTCAGTGTGCTTTTTACGGTTATCTGAGGTAAAATTACCTCATGGCCATAGTGTCCATTGTTTTGGTCTGAGATACTGGTGCTCTAGTGCGTCATCTAGTGGCATAACTGATGCTAAAACGCTTCCTTTTCTTGCAGGGATTGTTTGATGTTTCTAAATGTGGATCACAATTTAGTGACACAGAAAGGGGCCAATGACCAGCTGACATGTATTGTGCACCAGCGTGAGTGATGTTGTACCTGTATGTTCCACAGCCACAGCTCAGAGCAGTCATCAGGACCACAGGCTATCAGGTAGACATCATCAGGGCTCCATGCCAGGTAGGAAACACCATAAGCATGGCCCTCCAGAGTCTTCATCAACTTTAACTGCTGGGTTTCCTTTTGAAAGACAAACTTGTCAATGATCCAGTTATTTCTTTTTCTCACATGTTGACTCATTCTTCCTGCTCTCAAGTGGAACTCGTGATAATTAAATGATCCGTTACCGTGTCGACGTGCCACACAATGACAGTGGTGTCTTTGGACCCGGTTGCCAGTTTTGTGCCGTCGTTGGAGAATTTGCAGAACCAGACTTCATTGCAGTGTTCGGTTAGAATCTGCTGAGTGTAGCAAGGGAACTGTTTCCTAACGATTAGGAACAGACACACACATTCGTATTATTACATATGTAAACAGCATTATGGAGATGATTATAGAGAGTGTTCAACTGACTTTATATTGTTCCTACACAGACAAAAATACAGTTTTGATACAGTGGCAGTGTTCCACAGTAGAAAATGTTTTTTTACTTTGGGTGAAGCCCTGATGTGGGACAGTGTATGTGGGTTACCGGCTGCAAGCGTGGTCCAGCAGCAGGGACACAGAGTCCAGTCCACTGTCCAATTTGGTGTTGTGGTAGAGGCAGCGCTCCCTCTGCAGCTCCACCGCCTGCTTCAGCAGAGTCTGCAGGCGGCGAGGAGGCAGCATCACTGACGGAGGCAGATAGGCTGCATACACAAAAAATTCCCATTAGTTCAGAACACAGAGTGATCAACTACAGTAAGAAACTGTATGTATTTATGAGTACAGAATTAACCAGAGAGACATATTATACAGCGAGTTATCAGTTCAGAAGACCCAGAGTCAACACACCGGTTGAATTTGAAGTTTTTCAGCCGACTCATTGTACACAGAAAGACAGCATTGCAAGCTGTAAACTTTACAAACCAACTTTACAAAATGACCACAATCCCCAAAACGAACTGTGATGGAAGCATAGCAGACTGATAGTTAACAGATAGCATGCCTCTGGCTGTGATGCTGGACGGTGGGGCAGCGGCTGCTCCAATGCTCTCTGCTCTGGTGCTGACCAACCTCCTCTACTGCCATCCACTGTAATTGGCTCTTGGGCTGACAGCGCTGGAACAGCCTGGCGCCCCTTGGAGACACTCCATGGTGTGCTAGTATTTTATACCTGAACTATGAGCAGGATGCACACTTTTACTGTCTCCGACTGTGTGGAAATCTGATGTTTTCACATCAGATTTGTTAAAATATGAGACTTGTGTAACCACATTTCCACCGCAGGAACTGCTGTGTAATGCTGAAAAAAGGATCCAATAGTTGGATTTTTGTATTGAACAGCCAAATCTGATTAGAAGGTCCAGTGTGTAACATGTAGGAGGATCTATCGTCAGAATTGAATTTATATTAACAGGTATGTTAATATAAATTTACAGGTGTATAAGAATCTGGAAATAAGAATCGTTATGTTTCTGTTACCTTAGAATGAACCGTTTTTATCTATAGAAAAAACAGGAGGGAGAGGGTCCACCATTTTGAACCAACATGTTTCTATAGTAGCCCACAGCGGACCAACTAAACACTGGCTCAAGATAAGGCCTTTTTGGTGGGGGTTTCTTGGCGAATGTTCTTTCTCCTGCACACTTAGAAGGTTGAACTGTAGTCAGGGGGTTGTAATCTGTAACTAGATACCACTAAATCCTACACACTGGTCCTTAAAGCCGGAATTTTGCTTCATTCGGATGAACACGTGGGTCGCTTGGAGACATTTGTGTGGCTGTTTTTTTTTTTTATACACTTACAAATATGTTTATGTTTTGGTCACTGTTTTGAACCTGCCTCCCAACAGAAGTTATTTTAACCAATCAAATTTCTTGACGTGCAGGTCCACACAGTGCCCTGTCGAGATTTGGGAGGTGAATGTGTGTGCTCCTCTGTGACCTACAGGACATTACCTCTGGGCTTTGGGAAACACTGATTAACATTTTTCAACATTTTATGGACCAGTGTGTAACTCTTGTGAAAATGAGCAAAACTCTGATTTCAGTGTGTAGAAGAGAGTTTCCCAATATCATAATCCAAATGAATCATATCCACACAAAATTGAGACAGGAAACAAATGTTAATGTCATGTAGGAAGCAGCTGCAGGATTTCAGAGTGTGCAACACGTTCAAACACATCCTATCTATAAGAATGACCCACTGCTGTTAACGAGTGTTAACTATGTGCAGTAAGATAACTGCGGGCTGTGAGTCACACTGTACTCACTCTGCAGCTTGTCCAGCAGCTTTGTTCGGGATGCTGTGCCTTTGCCTTCCCACTCTGCTTTGGCTCGGAGGTCTTCTGCATGACTGCACATCAGGTACCTTCAAAACACAGGACAGCATTTACTAAGCTACTATCAGACACTTTTACTGTGAGCTTACACACACTGATCTGGGCCTTATAAAGTTATTTTTTCACAATCATTACATAAAAACAAGCAGGTAAATTACATTTTCCAACAGCAGTATCACTCTGTTTGCCTGCTTATTGTTGCTATTGCTGCCCATTAAGTATAAAGACATCAGTGTATTTGCCAACACAAGTATATATTAGGCCAGCTTTTAAAAGTAGTTTGTTTTCAGTTGTATAATCTTCACAGCATTAGAGTGAAGAAAATATACCAAAGACACACACATAATATTAGCCATGAAAAATGTCATATAAATATAATATCATATTTGTTATATTGTATGGATTCTACATTTGCTATGGGTGTTCATGTTGGTCTTATGTTTTCATTGTTTGTGGTGACTAACTGGGACATGGCCAAACTCTGTACACAAGATACTGAACCTCAATCAGGATGTTTTCCCCTGATGTTACCCTGCGCTACAAAACAAAACAACAGTTTTTTCTGCAGGAGCCTTCTGTGGATGCACCCTACTTTCAGCAGCAGAGCTCCTGAGGAGCTGAGAGGATAGCAGGACGTGGACTGGCCGAGAAACACCAGAAGACAACTTTTCAGTTTAACCAAATTTACGACTATTCTGTCATACTGGCAAAAATGTAGAAAGGATGTGAAGGAAAATAATTATTGGTTCCATGTCAGTTTGGTTTTGTAGTTGTAACTATGGATGACCAATATATAAGCTGAACATCAGTATCAGCTGATATTCGCCTTGTTGACTGACATCAGCAAATGAGATGGCATTCACTGATGGAAGAGGCAATGTTTATCTGTTGGGTCACATCAACTTTGCACTAGCTAATTGTTATGTTATAATAACCAATATGTTATTGGTTATTTCCAACTTGGATAGCGGAGAAATAATCACCTCCGTTTTCTAGCACTCGCACAAATTGCACACAAACACCAATGTGCTCTGTGCAGTAGCAATGACAGTGAGCACCTTTTCAGTTCAGTGTCTCACATCTTGGATGAGCAGAGAAATAGACAGTCATAGAAAAATAGAGAATAAACTAGAGTTGCAACAAGGCAGAGATGCTTAGTTTTGTAGATTTCCTTATTCCCCTGGCACAAAGGGCCTCACTATAATGCATTGGTAGCAGCCCACAACTTCTCAACTGGTCAATCCCTAGTTGTTACTGCATGATCTATTCTATTTTCCCCCCAAAACGACACCAAAAATGACCTTTATACAATTTACAATAGTTTGTTAATCCAACCATTTTTTAAGACCTGTCAAAATCCTATTTAAGACAATTTAAGGCTTAAAATTAAGATTATTTGGGTTTTAGAGTTTTTAAGACGCTGCAGATGGCATGTAGGCGAGGAATTCTATATATTCTAGGGATATGAAATTATGTCACAAAGCTTATTGACAGCTTCAGTAATGGTTGAAAATGTCAATCAATCCTATTCACACAGAGGCTGCCATATCCCTGAGGGATCTGACACATTCTAACACAACATGGTAAAAGCTAAACTTAAAACCAAGAAACATTCCACACTGTAAGTGTAGTGACATGAAAATCCATCATCAACATTGCAGATTTGTCTGAGCTCTGTGTGCTGATGAACTGACCCGCTCAGGATGTGGATACGCTCTGTGTTGTACTTGAGAGGAGTGAGCTCGGCTCTGAGGACCTGCAGGGCCTCCAGGACCTTCCCATCTTCCAAATACTCCAGATACTTCTGCTGCAGCAGCAGGAACTTCATCCTCTGTACAGGAAGACAAGGAGAGGTCACCAAGGTCAACACAGGTTGTATGTACTGCAACATTTTCCCACATGAGATCAACACATACCATTTATTAGGGCCCGAGCACTGACTGTGCGAAGGCCCTATTGTAATTGATGGGGTTCTTATTTTTCTTTTAGTCATTTTGTAATCGCATTTTTGGAGGCTTTCCCGTGCTCGAAAGCTCATGAAACGCGGCATGAGCTTTTGCCTAGAATTTTTTTTCGCTAGAGCGCGAAATGTCCAAAAACCACTTTTTCGTGTTACTCCTATACACTTTGTCCGATTTCCACGAAATTTTTCAGGTAGCATCTGGGGACCGTCCTGGCAA